GGGTGCAATGGGATCTGGTGGTACTCTTGATTTAAGTCGATCTTACAAAACACTTTACAACCGTTCAAGTCCGACACTACGTCATCGATGGTGGGTATGATGTGTCGCTCCCTGATGATAGCTTTGTTTAATGAACGCATGTCTACAAAAATTCTAATCTCGTTCGGTTTATTCGGCTTGGGCACAACAACAATTGGCGATACCCAAGGGGTGGGGCCTTCTACGCGTTCAATGATGTCATCATTTTCAAGCTGTTTGAGTTTTTCCTCCACCTGTTTTCTTACATGGAAAGGGACTCGGCGATGTTGCTGTGCCACGGGTTTGACAGATCCATCTACATGTATGCGTCTGGTTCACCTTTGTACTTGCCCATTCCACTGGTTAGATTAGGAAATTCCTTGAGAGAATCTGGGGCATCAGGTGGCAGGTTAACAGGAGGTTCGACCATACTAACAGCTTTAATAAGATTTAATGCCTGTGAGGTTGTCCAGCTAAGTATGGAGCTTGATGAACCCTTTGCGACATAGAATGTTTCCACGGATGAACAGCTACCACTGGTGACAGTAGCTCGGAACTTTCCACACAGGGTTAGTGGCTTATCAAACATGTATGGATACACTTTGGCACTTTCAACCAGTTTCACGTTTCAACCAGTTGTGGCTTTGATTTAAGGCCATCAAAGTCTCTCTTGCTTAAGATATTCACGGTTGCTCCTGAAACTGCCTTTATGCGGATAGGTGTGATCATAATGGTGACCTGAAAGATAGGCTTGTCAGCTTGGTGTCCCTGTGCACCAATGTTAAAGGTATACTCTTCGCTGTTGTCACTATCAACACCGGCTAGAGATGACATTTCACTACTCGGAGACTCTTCAACATCTGCAGAACTGGCATGGGGTTTACCTTTTGATGATTTCTTTGGGTGCGAAGATTTGGACCGATTATTGGGTTTGCCACAACAAACTTTGGAGAAATGGTTCATTTTGCCACAGTTCAAACACTTTTTACCTTGAGCAGGGCAAGTTCCTTGATGTGGGTAATTTCCACCACATAAAGCACACCTATTGTTACGCAATCCAGACTTTGGTAGACCACGATAATTCTCTTTCTGCTAAACGTCGGTTGCTTTATTTCTACCATAGCCCACTGCGTTGGATTGCTGTTTCTCCATATCAGTGGTCTGTTCGTCGGCGGTTTCCGTGGCGCGAGCTACTTTCAATAAGTTCTCAAGATTAAGGCTCTGTGCGATTGCTTTACGTCTCAGGCGAAGCGATGAGGTTCCTTGAATAATCCGCGGCTTAATTTCCAGTTCGGGATCGGCGAATTGACACTTGCGTGCTAACAGCTGGAGACGTGTGTAAAACTCGGTAATGTTTTCACCAGACTTTTGCGTTTCCTGACGAAAGGCATAGACGTGATAATCCACACACTTTTGAGGCTCAAAATGATCAGCAAGAGCCTTTACGGCAGTCTTGTATTCGTCACTTCCTTCCGGCGGTTCTGGACCGGTAAGGGTCTCAAACACATCACAGGTTTCTTCTCCTACGTAATGCAACAACATGGTTTCTTTTGAGATGCTCGGGTAATGTTCATTGCTGTAAACATGTTGTCCAAACGCTTGACATACTTCTCAAAGCGAACGGGTACTGTATCTCTTGGTTGAGGATCAAACTCAGGAAAGGTCGGTAGGTTAATTGCCATTGCAGAGGCTGCTGAAGGCTGTGAAGGCGAAGTGGTTGATGAAGAATCTGCAGGCATTGAAAACAAGGTTGATCGTCGGGAGGATTTTCCGGTTGATTTAACACTTTAAACGTAAAGATTTCCGTCTTCGATTACTTACATCCCATCCTCGTCGCCATTTGTGATGTTTTGAATGGATTTCAAAACAGGATGCAAACGATTAACAACGATTTAATAAATAGTTGCAAAAAGACGTGTTACAGCATCGGTGGACGCCATGATCGTTCCGCTACATATATCCCATAGTTCCTAGCGAACATCCGGTATCAGAAAATTTCCGGTTTATAGCGGAGTTCCGCGCGCGAAGCGCGCCTGCGGAGCACCATGGGTAAATAAATCTACCCATCCCAGAAAATTTGGTAATCACGTGACCAACCGACCGAGCGACCGAGCGACCGACCGTCCGTCCGCACCACAGGCATACCAATGTTTACTCTCACACTTTCTAGCTACTTTTGGAGCCCAGGAGAAAGCTGATTGCACATCAATGTTGTCATCAATTGACAGCTGTCAAAACAGGGTATCCGCTGACCAGTATCACCTGGCCGTATCGCGGGCTCAGGTGTCGACCCATCGAGGTCGAGTATTTTTTGAAGTTATCCGCTGACAATTTACTCATTTTTAAATGATCGCAGGCTCACGTTTACTTTTTTATTTAAATTCATATCAAACATGTTGCGTTTATGTCAGTATCGCACCGCACTATTACGATTTTGATTTCAAACTGACCTCAGACGCAAAAATTCAGCCAGTTTTTTCAAAATACAGGCGGGGAAGACCTTTTCTTACCATGGTCACGTGTTGGTCACGCTCGACGTCCAATTTTTATGCTCTGATTGGTTAAAATTTGACAGGTGAGTTCATGCGTAAAATTTATGCAGCATCTTGAAAGTTGTTTACTTTGACAGCTGAAGCTGACAGAGTTTTGAGTCAACTTGTGATGTTTTTAACTGTCTTTTTCCACTGGATGTACAAAATGAAATACAGCTGCTATCAAGAGTGTTCTCTTATTCATGGCTGGTTTGTTTATTGGGTTTTTGGTTGAGAAGTGCGTCGCTTGTCAAAGCCGATAATCCGATTTCGGATGGCATCGTTTTTGTTTTTCACCTTGCTGGATGCGTAAGAGAATTATAAAGGCTCAAGCGATCCTTGCCTTACTTGATAGCTTTCAGGAGCTGCATCTCGAAATATGGTAAGGTTAAGTAATTGTTGTATTTAAATACAATTTCATGAAGTCCAGAGGCGCAGTTTATGAAGCTAGTTTATGCACGTTTGTATTAAGATTTGACTGAGACACCGATCTGACCTAGTATGAGGTTTGATATAAGCTTAAGCTTACAGAACTTTAAAAAGCCTTTAGTCGATATTAGTTCACCGTAAATAGAAAGAAAAACTTTCCGAAGAATATTTAGTTGTAATTTTGGCTGTAGAAAGAAAGCTTTGAGCGATTTTCTTGTCGTGAGTCATCTTTGAAAACAGCAAACACCGGGAAACCGGCGGCTTAAAACATAAACTTAATCTTTAAGTTTACTAGTAAAGACTTGAGGATTCTTAGAGACACTTAAATACTCATTTGTTTTCGTGAATGAAAATTGTTGTCTCCGTAAATGTTCTACCGAATGATATTTCTTTATTGATTATTGGTAGTCTCAAAAGTGTGATTTTCATCGCTTTGCCGTTTGTTTTCAGCCGTTCATAAACATCGCTTGCAGGAGTACTCAAAATGCCAAGTGTATGAAACGCTTTTTAACATTACACATCGTTATAAAACCATTAATAAAAAATAGACTCAATAAATTCTTTATCACGTTGAAGGGTAACTCTTTTAAAATTTCTTCGCAAATTTGGCGCTTGTCAAAAGTTAGAACCGGATGGCCGTATAGGTGACTTTGGAAATTTTTTGAACGGTTTCGCTAATTAAAAGTCCACGCGTGCTTCGATGGTCCTGAATATTGAATGAATGCAATTTGTCTTGAAAGATTGTGAAATACTGCATTTTGTACGAGGTCTGTATGATAAAAACAGTGCCTCATAGTACTCTTTCTCCTCAGATGTGGTCTATAAAAAATAATAAAAAAATTGGTTTGCACGCACCCAGATTTATTGGCAAGAATTTTTAAACTTGTCGAACGAAAAAATTCGGTCTGATTTGTTTTCCAAGAATTTGTTTTCCACGCCTTATCTACTGTGATCAAGGGCCATTATTGCTCTTAAATGTGACCGAAGACTATTTTTTGGGTGTACATATAGGGCTATATCAACTCGATACAAGATTTGTTTCACTCCAAGATCACTTAGCTTTTCCCTCAAAAGGCACATCAATGTGCCCTTAAGTTAACTGATTTGTGGAATACAAAATTATTGTTTGATTTAAGTTATAAATTTATCAATGGGAGCTTCGCTTTTAGCTGTGGCTAAATCTATATATTATGAACATTACAACACCTAATTGGACAGAAGAGATATTCCTGGTCGATAAAATCCAATCCACAAACCCAATCACCTACAGATTAAAGGATCTCAACAAGGAGGAAATACAAGGCAGCTTTTATGAACCAGAATGACTGCCGGCAACATAGGATGTATTTCGCATTGAAAAAGTGATTCGGAGGGATTATAAGAAGAAACAAGCTCTTGTCAAATGGTTGGGTTATAGTGATGATTTTGATTCTTGGAGTCCATTGAGCACCTTACAAGATTTATCTAACTAATAGTATATGGAAGATCATAAAAGAAAGTTAGATACTAAAATCCGCTGTAAGGAAACCGAGCTTAATGCACTTTACACTAAAATCCAAAAATTTGGAAGAAGAGATTGCGACATTACACCACAAGAAATTAATCTCCAAAAAACTGGAAACAGCTGAAATGTCATTAACCGGCGTCCTTGAAGCGATCTTTGAAACAGAGGAAGAGGAGAAAGAGTAAGGGAAGTTTATTTTGGACCCCCTTGTAAATACACCTGAAAACAATTTTATTGATACCCTAAAACGGGGTGTCAGGTCCAAGGTTCTGAAACGGCACCTCAGGCCCAACCATATTTCTTAATCTATCATATATACCATTTTTATTGGTCTGTGTGATAGAAAATTATGTAACCCTATATTAATGGTATATATGATAGAAAAGATATTCCGTAATACTGATATGGGCATTGAGCTCACATCATTTATCGATAATAAACAGAATGTTTGGTTCAAGGGTAAGGATGTTGCCCAGATTCTAGGATATAGTGACACTGAACAGGCTATTAGAAAACATGTATCTGAAAATCACAAAATAAAACACATCTTTAGGCACCCCGTCGAGACAACGTGTTGGTTTCAGACCTATTTTATTGACGAAGCCGGCTTTTATGAACTTGTTTTTAGCTCAAAATTAGAAACAGCAAAAAAGTTCCGTGATTGGGTATTTACCACTGTACTCCCATCAATCCGTAAATATGGCCAATACAAACTGTTTGATAGTCCCTGGAATAACATGATTATGACTGGCAATGAGACTGACCTCCATCATAAAGTAGTAGATCTAATAAGAAGATATTATCCCGATACTATATTATTAGCAGGACTGGGGGAGAATCAGGATACTGAGGATAAGAGACTGGATTCATATAAAAAGGGATATATGAGAGGACAGCCTGATCTATTGGTACTTGATTATCACAAAGATTATAAAGGCCTGGGCATAGAATTCAAGAGTCCTACAGGTAACTACTATGTATCAGAAGCCCAAAAGGAGATGAAGAAGAAGTACGTTAATAATGGCTATGCATTTATACTCAGTAATGATTATGAAAAGAACCAAGAATTTCATGTCGTGGGTTGTTAGTACTATCCGGCATCATAAAACATTGAGCCTGAGCAAGCAATAGAAAAAGCTGATTATAAATGCGGTAAGAGCTTTTGTTTAGATCCTATTTTAGATACTTATAAAAAGAAAATAGCTTAAAATCCAATAGTCGACAAAATATTGGATATGATTGCAAAAGCAAATATAGACAGGTTAGATTTTGGACTCAAAAAAATAACCAATAATCATTCTCATGTTGTATTCACAAGTAAGGATAAATATCAGAACTATAAGCCAGATCCTGACTCAAAAACCAAAATAATATATAGTCTCAAACTATTTCAGTATGGTGATATGGTTGGGCTTAGATATTATTAAAGTCAAACCGCCCAAAACCGGTTCAAACCAGTCCAAAACGGATTCCCAAGGTCAAATTCAAAATATTGAAAATGTTCTCGTACCCCCATGTCCTATACTACTTGCCGCGGTGTTCCTCTGCAGTTCCTCCTTGTCCGGTAAACATTAGCTGTAGCCATAGGGGAAAGTCCTTAATTTGTCACGGTCCACCACACGCTTTTAATACACCAATCCCACTTTTTCTCTCGGCGGACGGTGGTCAGCTTTTTCGTAGTCGTGTTCCGCATGATGAAATAAGGTATGTGCGTAGATATGTAGTCGCGGCTACCATCCGCCGGATCCAGCTCGTAAGTCATTTCCCCTACAAAATTGCCTAGAGGGACCCATGGCTAATCAGGCCACCACGTGTACACAATTGAATCTGTGTCAAAATAAGTGCATTTCTCTCCACGTGGTCCTGGTGTTGGTAAAGCCGTAATCGAGCACAACAGGAGGTGAAAATATTGGTGGTTTGTACACCAGGGGCAAAGGTCATTTTAGGACATTCCTCGTTCATGATGCGAAGGAAATGCACCACAACAAGCTTGTCCCTGAGGTGTTTGTACAGAGCAGCAAGGGTGACGATCTGTTCGACTTTTTCGCCTATTTTCCGCCAAAGAGCCAGCTTACTGGTTGCTTTCTTTCCTCTTTCCCACCATGTTTTTATTTTCTATTGTCTCTCGACTGGTGTAATCGGCTTATGACTGGTTCTTTTCCGCCTCTGCCTCTTGGGTTCAGTCTGCGTTAGGTGCTCATCCCGAAAATTCCGTCTTTCCCTACAGCCACGTATTTACATAGTCTCTAAAGAGACTGCGCTTCTGTTGTGCCTCGGGAAAATTGTACCTTTTGTAGACTTAAAGGATGAGGTACCCTTTACCCACGTCTTTCTATACCTTGGTCTTGGTCAGCAACCAATCGCAAAAGGCCTCTGTGCAGTCACGACCATAAAAGTGGAGGGGTAAAAGAGATGATATGTGATCCTCCCCCATAGCACAAATAAGGATGGGGATATGTTCTTGCTCGTCCTGGGTGTACTCGAAATCCGCGTACACGAGATGGGGCGGTAAATTGGCGCGGAACACCTCCTCTCAATTCTCCTCCTCACTATCACTTTCGGACGGAACGCTCCTATTAAAAGAAGCTTACGGCATGGGACGCTCTGTGCGGCGTACGGCTACGACACGGACGTTTGACTGGTAGTCCAGCATCGTTGGAAATTTTGTCCTCGCCGACAGGCTGCAAGTAGCACTTGTGGATATCTACACAGTCCTTGAAGGTCTTGAAGAAATATCTCCAACACTTGTCAGGGCGTTGACGTTTACGCCTTCTCTTCCACAAATTATAATTTGTTTACGGCACTCGTCACAGGAGTATAGGTAAGCGCAAGCTGAGGTCTTTGCGGAGTTTGTCACATGACCGTTGGGTTCAAGAACGCGATGGTTGTCGTACCACAGGTTACCGTATAACGAGCGTTGACAAATGTGTTGCAGGACACTTGCGTGGCGCGACGCACGGGTCTATCAGAGAGAAGGTGCAACTTGTAATCTCCGCCATCTTTGTTTGCGGTCCACGCAACAACGCTGGATGCAGGAATGATGGTCAAACATGTCCGTGTTCTATCCCTTTTCACACAGATGACAATAATAACTTCTCCCTAGAAACCCAGTCATTGAGATCAAAGCATAGAAATGATGGTCTTTTCAGCGGATAGATATACCGCTGTTCCTTCCTCTTATTGCTCCGTCAAAAGATGAGTTGGTATCCCTTGTCAGCACTGACCACCTTAATGTTATAGTCGGGCAGTACCATAGCAAATTGTTCGAGTTCGCCGAACCCGCAAGGTCCTCCGAGAGCCCTAGCATTAGCATGCCACTCTTTGCGTAATCTTTCTAGCGGCGGCCATTCCTTGCGGAACGTTTCAAACTTGACGCTTAAAGTCGGTTTCTTAGGAGGTTGTGCAATCGCCCAGGCCCGCATGGTAACCAACGCCCGCGCACAATAGAGTTTTAATCCTGGTTATCAATGCGTGTAACAGACTGTTTATTCAGCCAGTTTTTCTGCAACATATACTTTTGGTTTGCTTCCTCCCTTACCGGGGTCTGGCAAAGTGTTATTTTGGACCTTGAAGCGGTCGTCCGGCGTTAAATTTCCGTTTTTATTCAATTTTTCCACAATCTTTTGCAAATGTTTCGTCACGCGGTAGGAAAGGTCGCGAGAGTTTACAAAACATGACTGTACATAGTATATATGATTGTATTTTTATTTTGTATTATACATAAATTTTTGAGGAGGGAGGGCCATTTATCACATAGTTTTTAGAATTGTCTCATTCAATTTCCTAGTAATGTAATATTTAGTCGTTTTGTTTGTTTTTGTTGTTACATTTATTTTCTTTTATCATTTCCAGATAAAGAGTCACCTTTGTGGAAATACTGGAAATGAAGACGTACTTATTATAATAATTATAATTATTATTATTATTATTATAATTCCTGGGTATGGACTTTGACGGAGTGGAAGACATGGTCGGAAGTCTGTTGCTGTGTAAAATCTTGGCATTCGAATAATCGATAACGCGTTGTTTGGCAATCTTATCCAAGAGATTGATCCAACACTTTCCACAAGTCGACTACGTGAGCGACGAAGGCTCGAAGGATGCTCGAGATGCGAGTGAAAACGAGAGACGTAAGTTGCGAGTCAACTTGTTTCGTTTGCAGATCGAAGAAGACTCACACTATGGACAATCCGACACTTCAATCGTACGTGTCTCCTTTCGTACGTTCGTAACGCGCTTGATGTTGTTTTTTACAAGATGCTCTTCAAAAAGGGTAATTGCCGATGTCCTTTCCAACTAGTCCCGTGATAAATCCTTGCTTTATTTTTGACAATAAGCACCTAATTTTTCCAACCCTTTGGTGATCGACCACGCGACCCAAGGAAGAGCAGAAATCTCCGGCAGAAATCTAGTGCCCTGTTGCACTTTGTGTCTTCCCTGTTGTGGACGAGAGCGTCTTCAGAGACTATTTATAGGACGTGTTTTTCGTTTCATTGTCGTAACTAAAGATCAGGGACCTTGCCTTTTCTGCGTTTTATACTTCCCGAGTAGCAGCTCGGCGTTCAAAATGTCCTCTTGCTTTCTTGGACTCATTGTGTCGGTAGTCTTTGGACTTGCTCAGTTTCACGCCCTGTTTTGCAGCAATGCTCAACACTCCCAACAATCCTACCCCTCTGACTGCTATCTCCTCTAACGACAGACCATGTCCACGTTATTTTTGATGTCTCTCAATCCTTTCTAAATTAACAGCAACCCTAAGTATCCAAACTTGGGTAAAAGGCTCGGCAATCCCATGGCCACTCCTTCTGCAATCTTATCGATCAATCGAGGTAATCGTCGAAGCACGGCTCCTCCACGCTGTGTTCTTCTGGTTCGTGACTCTTTCTTTGTCCTCCAACCATCCAAAAAACCAGTCCACTTCATCCACCTCCTTAATTTCATAGCCTTCGACCCTGACGTAGCGAAACAAACGTCCATATACCGTCACTATTCTTTCGGAAACAGGGCGCGTAAAATCAGTGATCACGTCTTCCAAGGTTTTTTTGGTCACACCAAAAAATTGCCAAACCCTTCCAAGGTCAATTATCACTCGCACAAACGTAATTTCGTCAAGATCTACTCGTAGGTGGTGTGGGCTTTGTTGGCAGTTTTTTTCACCTTGAACCATCCTTTGACCAATACTCCTTCGGCTGCCAAACTAGCCACCAACACTCTTTTCTAAAGTCCAGACCCCACCATCAAACCAACAGTGGGAGGGCAATATGACGGTCAAGCGTCCCAACAATGTTGACTGAGACTGAAACTGGATCGCTTCACTCTTCTTGGCTCGTTCACGTCGTTCTCGTTGCTCTTTATAGCGAGCCAAATCGTTTTCCTAAGAGACTTCATCTAATACCTGACCTGACTTTGCCTCATGAAGTGCGATCATGCACTTTCGGGGTCCGTCCTCTTGCGTGATGTCCACAATCAAAAAGGATAGTAGGACGCCCTTGTAAATCCATCATTAATTAACCAAACGGACATCTCGTGGACCTCGAAAACATTTCCATCACCTGTTTCCACCTATCGGGAAAGGTTTGCAATGTCAACGCTCGCATGCCTGTGCGATCACGGGGATTATTGAAGTTAATGATGTAGGGAGTATAACGCCATGCCATTGCCATTGTTTTGGTAAATTTTCCAAGAGGTAATCAACTTTAACACAGGTGCAACACGATAAGGTTGTGATAATGCGAGTCTTTTGTGCAGAGATCCAGCCTTCGTTTGTTGTTTCCTCCTTCTTCCATGAAATAGTCCAGAAAAAAAACAGCAACAATCGTTCATTCTATTAGTCAAGTTGAAAAATGTTGCTAAATCAAATCAGTCAATGTTCATGAGCTAACATCTTAAAAGCAAATGTCAGATGATTATAGTTTATTCACAGAAGAGACAATCTAAACCAACTGAGGTTGGTAATCAATCTTTGGAAATATAAATTACCATACTAGTAAATGCAAAGCTAATGAAAAAAAATCAAACCTAAGTGTAGGACTTGGTTTCTCTAAGGTTGGGAATGCCATTCAAAACAAATAGCGTATTACTTGAATAAACACAAGTAAAGTACTTAATCTTGTGAAAATGAAAAACTATCATCCACTAATGAGGCTTACTCGAAAGAGAGGAACTTAAATGTGGCTCTTAATTCCTCTAGGGTAATAATAAGAAGGATAATGTTGCGACAATACTGCAAGCTCTAAAAATTATTTACCAAAACAAATGAGGAAGCAGAAGCTCTGGGAGGGTGGGACGGAACAGAAAATGTTTGTGACAAAACTTTGCACTCAAGACAATGAACGGGTTTAGCAGGCATAAATGGAGATGGCAAACTTCGTTCTGATTGGATGGTTGTCCAGATTCCCACGTGTTGTCACGTGAGGTCATCCTGAGACCAGTGCTTGGATGTTTTGGCAAAGCTCGTACCTCAAGATAGAAATAAAGGTTGTTTATTAACTGAAATCTATTTCACAAGTTCAATAAATTGTGATTTAATCAACTTCCCCTTGTTTCACAGCAAGGACAATTGGAGGGAAGGCCCAAATACCTCCTCTCTAACCAAGGTTGCTCACAGTGGCCCTAAGAGGAGGCCCACCTACCTCCTCTTCATCCGCTGTGTGCATCCTCTTGAGCTGTTGGTTTGTTTTGCTTGACACTCCAGGAACTTAAGGGGTTTAAATATTAAATATTTATATGTTTTAAAATTGATTACTGATCACTTACCTGTTTTTAGCCTCACAAAGTTGTTGTTGTCCTTTCTGGGAAACAAGGGGAAGTTGATTAAGAACAGAAAGAATTAACTGAGTATTTTGTTCAGAAAACTATCTAATATAGACAAAACTAAACGAGCAGAGTATTAATAAACAAATTGCGTTCTATAGGGTTGTGACACACGAAAAATACAGAGGAAAATTAAGAGAATAAAAATAAATAAATAAATAAATAAATAGAAAAAACAAAACAAAACGGTACCAGTTTACATAAATTAGGGTAAATCAACTCCTTTTATTACAATTAAGGATTGAAATTTTCCAAGAAAAAGAGAGATTTTCAATATCAGCAGAGTTGCTATAGTCGGAAATAGATTAATAATCAAAGTTCATTGCTATCAGGACCAGATGCTGAAAGTTGAGGATGTTATTTAGTTCTGATATTACCTGAAAACAAGGTGGATCCAGTAGATCTTCACAACCCGCCGCTTTTTCCAAAACATTGAGTTAAGTCTTTAAGTTTGGGAATGCATTTATGAAAAATCACTCCTTTCTTCTGTTTCATGCGCTCAAAACGTGATTGCCACACCCCCTAACAATAATGATGAGGAGGTCAGCGGACCGAATATCATAACTGGCAGCTTATCTTTCAATAATATGCCGGTGTCTCACAAAGGGGAACAGTGTTTATAATATGACCTCAATAGGCCCTTTGAAACTGTTTTCAGAGTAGCCTAATGGTTCCTATGCTTGCGAACAGGTCATATCGACATGACAGTCCCAGCTATCAGCTATCTGAACCCCTGGGCACTTATGTGCACTGGTTCGTGATATAGGTTGATTATTTACCTCAACGGCTTGCTCACTTTATATCTTACTATTCAAATTATAGGATTAGCCAATGAACAGGAGTTTTGATTTAGACGGGTGCATTTGAAGTCTATTCTCTGTGAGCCTTTTTTGGACTTGACCGAAGTTAGCGTTTTACTTCATGATATAAAACGTTCGTTGTCATCGTAAAAGGAAGTGAAGATTAGAGTATCATCCACATAGACTGTCAGATAAGGCATTAAAATAAAATGGGAACAAACGTGGCCCTAGATTTGAGCCCTGGAGGGACTCCGCAAGATATTATTTTCTTAGATTACATCTATAACCATTGATAGCCCTTGAGACAAGGTATGCATTACTGTTCCCTATTCTTTAGGAATGATTTAAACCAGTTCAGCTCCGATCCATACCAAAGATACCAAAATTTTCATTCATTTTGTTTATCAAGATGCCATAATTATCGATTTAAACACTTTTTTATTATCTAGGAAAACAACACCATTCAGTTTTACCATTATCCATATTTTCTAGCCATTCATAATGCCTCCGGATTAGGGCTATTAATTACTGTTGAGTGACTTGGGCGGAGTTCAGACTGAAAATTTGATAGCATGGAGTTTTCAGTTAGATAGCTTTGGAGCTGATGAAGTTCTCTTTTTCAAATTCTTTGCTCGAAACAGATAATATAGAAATGGGAAATGGAGAGGTCTGTCTCCATATCTAAAAATAAAATAATCGGGTGATTCTTACGAGCAAACCAGACTGGAGCTGAGCACACAAAGCCGATAAAGTGTCACCTTAACCAGCAAGATTAGCGGGTGGCGGGGGCTTGGTGCCAGCAGCTCCTCACGGACGAGGCCCCGCCCCGTGCCGGCCCCGTCATCCAGAGTAAATAACTGGCTTGTCTGGTTTGGTCAACACCCTTTCGATGTTAAAAGCCTTGAAAGACTAAAGAGGGTCAGAAGCCTACCAGTGCCTATCTTCCAGCTTAGCTGGCTAGAATAGATATCGCACATTTACGAAGGAGGGGAGCCTTTTTTCGTTACCCCGACAGGCTAGGAATAAGAGATTGTTAATAATAACATAAATGACAAATACAAAGAAGCTAACACTAAACTTGCAGAAGGACGCAACATACGACGTAGGCTTCGGAATGAACCGTACACGGGGTCGTAGCCAGCTTTTCGACTAGTTGCAATTGTAGGCCTGGCTGACTTTCATTTCCACATATCCTGAAAATTGCACGAATGAGTAGTAAGCACTGACCTCACCAACACTTTGAGCTCTTAAGCTTGCGGTCACCCTAATAAAGCATAATTTATCACAAGCGGTAGAGTGATCAAACCAAAAATTTGTTGGCCCGGGCCCACAGGTCTACTGGCTGGCTACGCCAAGGGATTCTGCGTTACTGCGACTGGACTGAGGGGCAACAGACGAATCAAAGTAATCAGTAGTAGGCAGTTTTCCAGTGCTCAGCAGGTCACGGCGGTTACGACGGTAAACAGCATCACCAGTCTTTACCAGGTAACTGCGCGGACCAGCAAAACCCACGCACTCGGCAGGTGAGCAAACTTTCTCACCCGGAAGCCTCACATGCACAGTCTTGCCAAGGTTAATGGGCTTTAAAGACTTCACATGCCGATCGTAATAATTCTTTTGGCGCCATTTCCTTCCGGCCAACGCACGCACATCATCACGTAGTGGATAACTTGGTCTTAAAAGCGACTCCGACATTGGCAGAAGTGTACGACATCGACGGCCCATCAGGCGCTGCGCAGGACTGGTATCCATTCCCTCAGAAGGTTTATTTCGCCAGTCAAGTAGAGCTTGAAATTCTGCCACACCGGTTTCTTTGCATTTCTCAAACAGACGTTTCACTGTCCGCACAGCGTTCTCAGCCTTGCCATTTGACTGAGGGTAGCGAGGCGACGAAGTGACATGATTGAAAGACCAACTCTTTGCGAACACTTGAAACTCATTAGAAGAAATGGCGCCAAAAGAATTATTACGATCGGCATGTGAAGCCTTTAAAGCCCATCAACCTTGGCTTGAATGTGCGTGTGAGGCTTCCGGGTGAGAAAGTTTGGTCACCTGCCGAGTGCGTGGGTTTTGCTGGTCGTTGTCTAGATACTGGATAATGTTCATTCCCAGGTACGCTTTCCTGCCAAGAATAGGTCTCACTTTCTTGCTGTCAACCAAATTGCAGTCAAGCAGGCATCTGAAATTTCCACGCCATACACGCAAACGAACTTTCCCGAGGATAGGAATTGAAGTACCACCATACGAAATGATCGCCGTATTGACAGGGGTCGCATTGCACAAATCAACATCCTTAGTGGCTTTCTTGTATAGATGCAAAGGGACAACATTGCACTGAGCTGCGGTATCGGGCTGAAAACGAAGATAATTTCCAGATTCCAACTTCAGCGTTACCAAAAACTTCGTCCGAAAGCTCATCTCCGAAACAATGCACAGGATGCGTGCGAGTCGTGGGCTTAGGCGCGTGTCCAAAACATACGTTTGCGAAATGATTTTTCTTGCCACACTTACTGCAGCTCCTTCCAAAAGCTGGACAGTTCTCACGCTTCGCTACGTCATGCTCACGTCCGCAAAATTCACAACTATTTCGCCGCGTGTTAGCATTCCTCGAGCCACGACCTCGCCTACGTTTCCCTCTTTTAGGCTTTTTAGACACAGCATTCACGTTTCCGGCATCTGCAACGCTTAGAACGGCATCGCCAACAACCCTCATCTGCTGTACCATGGTCTCGTGAGAACGACAAATCTCGTCAGTTTTCTTCAACGACAAATTCTTCTCACGAAGAAGCCTCTCACGAACCTTTGAATCGCGAATTCCAAATACGAGCTTGTCACGTAAAATCTGATTGGGGGTAATCGATTCGAACTCGCGCCTTTCTGCTAACTGTCGAAGAGCTGTCCGATAGTGATCGTAAGACTCTCCCGATTCTTGCATTCTAGAATAAAACTTATATCTTTCAAAAGGCACATTTTTAAGTGGCTGACAGTACGCTGCAAACTTTTGTAACACAGGTGAATCTTGTTTTGGTCGGTGTCGCTCGCCCAATCCGTAAACGTAGCGAAAACTTTCCGCGCTTCAGCTCCGACTACGGTAAGCAATGTTGCAACTTGTACGGCTTCGGGTTCCTGGTGCAACTTCATGGCAATCGAGTAATTCTTCCAAGCTTGCTCAAACTCCTTCCACTTTTCTGCTGCGTTCGAATCATGAATATCAAGAGGTGGAGGCGGCGGTAAAGCAAACAAAGCACCTCTAACATTCGACGTATCTGCAGACGAATTTGGCAAAGCACCGGCCCCTTCGCCTCCCGGCATCGCAAGTAAAAAAGGAAAACACGTAGGTTCACTACAATATTCCTGACACGATGAAACACTTGCGAGAGACAGTAATACGAGGGAAATAAGCTCTCTTTAATAAGACAAGAAGTAACTTAAATATCCTGCTTATTAAATATTCGCGTTGACACATTACGTAACCCTAATCTTAATAATCCACCTATCAATGTAAAGCCGGCGCGGGGGGGGGGAGGCAGGGCATGGGTGGGGTTTGATTTTCTTTGTTGGCCATGGGGTAGGGCATTTGACTGACCTTGTTCTCCCAGGGGAGGGGATATTTGAATCCTTCTTCGCCCGACGTGGAGATACTTGACTGCCAACTCGGACGAAAAAGACCGAGACCGAACATATGTTTCCCGCTTCTACGCTTCACGCATGCACCGTACGGTTTGAAAAGATCAGGAAGTCATGGAGGCTAATGAGAACAAGCGAAGGCTGAGTGGATCAGTTTCAATGTTTTGTCTTCAAATTTCGTTTGTTTCAGCGTTTTTTTTTTATCAATCGAACCTCTTAAAATACTGTGGTATCAAAGTAAACGGAAGTAAAAAGAAACCAAGTCGATTTTTTGCAAGTACAATTGATTAGTGTATGGCTCATTCGCTACAATCACTGTAAACTTAGAAACTGTAAACTGTAAACTGACTTTCTTTGTACCCTTTACTAAGAACGGTATATTTAAACTTACAAAATGTGGACTTTCTCCTAAAGGTTTATGTATTCTATGCAGCGTAACACGGATTATGCTTAAAACGTATAATTGCAGCTGTAACAGGAACATGTATCTTTGGTGATGCAGCAACGTTTATAAAAGATTGCAGAGTTTAACTTGGAGATATTTCTATTGTGCCTTTCTTGGGTTCTGTCTTGGGATTGACAGCAATGTGCATCCTGGGGTGAGAAAATTTGGTTGCATTTGACTGGAATGATTTGCCCGTGGGCAGGGAATCTGATTGCAAATTCTTGCAAAAAGCCAAATCCCCACCCCAGCACATTGAAATTAGCAACATTCTCAAATTTGTTTATCTGGTCTTTATTGAACGAGATACAACCATTTAAAAACTCTAAAATTGACAAAGAAATATATATAGACGTCGGACAGTGTGACAGCAATCCATACATCTCTTATAAATTTTCAAGATTTTAAATGGTCGTGTCTTGTTCAATATTGGCCCAATCGACACCAAACTTAAGGTATTTCATAACCTCAATGTGCTCTTTCGGACCAAGTGGGTCTCGCCTTCTTTATACCATAATAAACCGACTCGCACCCAGCCCCTCTCGGTTTGAAACTAGGGAATGATCTCAGTTAGGGGGACACTCAAGTATTTTCCTGATGTGGGGGAAGGTGTCAGAATGAGGCCTTGAAGACTCATATACCCATATGTGCACAAAGACCCCCTTATGAAGTGTATCTTTACCTCCAGCTAGAATTAAACTTGTGCAATTACTGTCATCCAAGGGACAAGAACAAGTTAGTGTAGAGAAAGTACTCTGTTCAACAGACATTCATTTGCCACATGCACACACCTCCCCCACCCCTCCAACAGAGAAGATCATTGCATGGTGGGAAAAACGAAAACCCGTGAATCAAGTTTATTGTTGGGTGGCCATGGCCTAGAGAAATTCCTTCACTTCTTGCAAGCCCATATATCATAAAAATTGAATGATCAAAAATCCTTGACAGGAGGATAGTCAAAGTGTACCAGGCACACACATGAGGGCCAGTGCATGTGGCCCACCTTTATCTTGGGTCAGGCAGCCTAGGGTATGCAGTCATGTGACACCGCCACATGTACAGCTGGCGTGACCTCTCCCTAGAGGGGCATATATATAATTAGGTTCCCATCACCCTCCACTCCTGTGCTATGCACATTACAAAGATGACTGGGGAAGAGTCAGCCCCTACAGGACCTCTGGCCAGGCTGGCTTAAAAAAGAGGTCAACTCCATTATTGGGATTAGCCTTGTGGACCAATATGCCTTCATATTCACATCAAATTCATTATCTTCACGTATTAAGATGATTCTTAAATCCTACTCCTTCATCATGCCAATGTAATTTTGAGCTAGCACAGAAAATGCAGCGTACATTGAAAAGCGGCAGAGCCTGTCATAAAGTGTACAGCCTAATTCTCTTTGGAGTAGTTAATTTAGACAGGGTTTAGCACAGACTTTTCTTTTACGCTTACCACTTTATTTAAATACAAATATATTAAATAATATAACAAAGTGTACATAATGTATTAGAAAGGATACTTCAGAGCTCAAATTAACAATATTTAGCCCCACCCATTCAACAAAACAGTCTATTTGGAAAGGGTAAAAAAGGGCACATGACTAGTTTCAACGAAAACCCCTGCTAAAAATTAAATAATCTTTGGATTTTTAACGCTTTGTAACAGTAGGAGCAATCATTTTCCTGTGACTGTATTAGCGGCAACTAGGATCAATGTTAACATCAATAACTTCAGTTGACATGCTCTCTCTTACAAAACCACTTTTCAGTAACTCAGGGACTTGTGTTTCCTCAAACATCTTCTCAATGTCATCATACTTTGTCTTAAGCAACTCTCCCCACGATGTCAGGTTGCAGAAGGTCAGCACTCCGCCTGGTTTAAGGAGACGGTATGCATGGTCTTTGATAAACAAGAACTGGTGAGTGTGCCATGTTTCCTCTGACAAGGGGTAGGTGTCATACATGATGCCATCAAATGATTCCTCATCAAGGGAGGGCAATACCTCCTCCCACAGGCCTATGGGAATAGAAAGATAAAAAAAGTACATGTCTTTGAATCTGTGTGTGGAAAAGCTTGCTAAAGAGTATACTTTTACTGTGCCTTAAATGATGTAAAGTCAGCAGTTTTTAAGACTATGAGTGGTCCTTTATTCTCTTTGGGGTCTCAGGGGGGTTACTGCTAAGAATTCTGGGTGTCAGCTTTTATTACTGTAACGGCCCACTGAACGACTTGCTGCCATGTCTGTCTTGTTTCTCCCAAGCAATAGGATATGTCTAGTGAAAGCAGTTTACATAGTGCAAGGATCTTCCTAGCTGAACTTGAAAACCCTGGCACTAGTAAGATCCTTGTGCTGAGGACAAGTAGAACTTTTTGTATGTAAACTGCATACAAAAAATATATCGGACTAGGATGATTCACCTTCACGGATCTTCCTAGTGCTGCCTGGGGCGGTGGATCGATAGAAAACTATATTGGAAATCAATTCACATAATTGATATCAATTGCTATAATCTGCAATTGTTATTGATTGATATTACAAAACAATAGAAATCAAAGCCACAGAAAAATTAATTTATCATTATTCATTAAAAATTCATTAAAAAAACTCACAATTCATACGCCCATTGACCAATCAAATGGTCAATAATACATCATGTGCAGTGACTATATCATTAAAACCTCTCCTTAGTAGTATGGGGTGTTTTGTCAGATATTATGTCACTGCATTTGTGACTTAGGAATACTAATTATCAACACAGTAACTGACACAACAAATGGTGGGTGAATATTTAATGTTCTTTCAAAATAACACACGCAGTGAATACTGCACAAAATTAAACTTTGTTCTTTCACCAATTTAATCAGCCAAACGTTCAGTGACTCAGTAGTATTGGCTATAGCAGTGTCCAAGCGTTGCACTCAAGACTTGCCAGTTGTGAATACACAAGGCTCGAGTACTGGATTTTTGTTTACCTACCATTTGGCCATTCCAGAATATTTTTTTAAAAGACTACTTTTTCACTGCACTTGTTGACTTTAGGGTACCATTTTGGAGTAACCTTTTTCTCTTCCTCAGAATTTTTAAGCTTCCGAAAAGCTCTGGAACAAGACGCCATCTTCTCTTCGGTTAATGTTGTTTGTAGACTGGAAAATTTCTAAACATGTGTGAGATTTGATTTTCTTGAATAATAACTTCATATGACGGTAATGTTTTTTTCGTATGCTAATTTCCATCATTCACAAAATTAAAGCATCATTGTTATCAACTCCCTTAAGACATGCTTTTCCAGAAATGTCTTTGAAGTCACTTAATAAACTCGCAGCATGTGTTTTATCAGATCTAAACCCAATAAAACACTGCATGCTGCTTGTTTATTAAACATTACATAACAATCAACAGTTATTGATAACAAGGAATAAAATCTTGAGAGGTACATGCATGGTTAAGATATTCTGAACAATTTGACAATGCTACTTGGCAAACAACACCGAGACCGGCTTTGCGCATAACCCATTATATATTATTCTTTACTTCAACAACTACCCCAGGCATAGTCTTCATCGCCTTCTATTTTTTGTCTCTTTAGTTTTACATGTAATGGATTTTTACATGTCCATTCAATCCAGCGCGGGGGGGGGGGGGGGAGGGGGGTACAGTGGTATCAGTTCTCCATAAAGACCTAGAATACATAGTGGATAAAGGTTGGAGGTCATGCAGTCAAGGATCAAAAACAAATCCGAACTTCCAGTTGGTAAATAAAGTATGCGGGATCAGTCCACTTGAAGTTAAACAGTCGTGATTGATTAATGCAGTTTATTATTGTTAGTGATCAATAGCTAGGGAAGGGGAGAGGGGGGCTTAATAGAGAGAGAGGGAGCTTAATAGAGAATTTACAGTAACAGAATTTGTGTTTTAAGTAATGATCCGGGTAAGGTGGACAGCAATTTCTTTTGTTATGCGGCAACGTTGTTTTCCC